CAAAGTCTGATCTTCACAACACAGGTATGTGGAAGTGTGTCATGGCTCAAACAAAGGAGATATCTGAGGATCTCTGAAAAACAATTGTTGATGCTCACCAGGCTGGTAAAGCTTACAAAACTATTTCCAAAGAGGGTGGACTCCACCAGTCCCCTATCAGACAGATTATGTACAAATGGAAGCATTCAACATCACTGTTACCCTCCCCAGAACTCGTTGACCAACCAAGATCACACCAAGAGCAAGGTGTGCAATACTCCAGGAGGTCTCAAAGAATTCCAGGGTAACATCTAAGGAACAAAAGGCCTCTCTTGCATTGGCAAATGTCTGTGTTAATGAGACCACAATCAGGAGAACACAGAACAACAATCATGTGCATGGCAGAGTTGCAAAGAAAAAGCCACTACTCTCCAAAAAGAATATTGTTGCCTTTCAACAGTTTGCGAAAGGCCCTATAGATAAGCCAGAAGGCTATTGGAAGAACGTTCTGTGGATGGATGAGACCGATATAAAACTTTTTGGCTTGAATGAAAAGCATTATGTTTGTCAAAAGGCAAACTGCATTTCAGCATAAGAACCTTATCCCATCTGTGAAACATGGTGGCAGCATCATGGTTTGGGGCCTGCTTTGCTGCCTCTGGACCAGGATAGCTTGCCATAATTGATGGAACTATGAATTCTGAATTGTACCAGCAAATTCTATAGGAAAATGTCAGGGTATCTGTGCATGAATTGAAGCTTAAGAGAAAGTGGGTCATGCAGCAAGACAACAGCCCAAAACACTCAAGTCATGCAACCACATAATGGTTAATGCAGAAGTTAATGTTTTGAAATGGCCAAGTCGAAGTCCTGACCTTAATCCTAGAGAAATGTGGAAGGACCTGAAGTGGGCAGCTCATGTGAGGAAGCCCATCAACGTCCCTGAGTGGAAGCTGTTCTGTAAAGAGGAATGGGCTAAAATTCCTCCAAGCCAATGTGCAGGACTAATTAACAGTTATCAGAAACGTTTAGTTGCAGTCATTGCCACCCAAGGGGGGCACACCAGTTACTGAAAGCAAAGGTTCACATACTTTTGCCACACACAAATATGTAGCTTTGGATCATTTTCCTCCATAAATAAAGGAAGAAGTATAATGTTTTTGACGCATTTGTTTAAGTGGGTTCTCTTCATCTAGTTTTAGGACCTGTGTGGAAAACAGATGTTTTAACTTATATTTATGCAGAAATACTGAAAAGGCAAAAGGGTTCCCAAAGTTTTTAAGCACACTGAACATCAGAAAGGTGGTTGGCTGTCTTCCTTCACTCAGGACTTACCTTATAGCAATGCCTCAGCTTGGGGCTGGTGGTCCATCCTGAAGGACAAGAGCCAGTGAGGCTGGGTGTGGGGTGTGGTGAAGGGAGCTCAGGATTCACTGGGGTTCCCAAATTCTGCCTACAGATATACTTGGCCTTGAACGTAGTGCAGTTCTTCACCTCCCACAAGCCCATGGCACTTCCCGTGGCCAAAGCAACGCAGCCACCCTTGTTATAACCTAAAAAGCTCGTGAGAAAGGAGAAACAGGCAAGAGAAAAAGTTTAAGCCGATGTTTTCCTTCTGGCTCAGCAAAGCCATCTTACAAGATTGCTACCACTACAAAAGCTGACCTTTCTCCTTCCCTGAATCACAAAATACCATTCTGATCTCCTCAAATGTATATTCAAGCTAAAATGTTATTGCCATATTGACTGCAAACTTTCTGAAGGAAGCCGGCTAGAGAGTGTAGTTAATATCTTACATCTGATGAATGTTATGCTTGGCGGATGCTGGGGGAATGTATGCTGTTTTTTATTTTTTCATTCCAGATGTTCCTTGTTCCTTTGAGTCCATTTTTCAGGGTATTAATTTGAAAAGGAGATGGTGGACTTCACAACATATGAGTGCTCTCCCCACTCCCAGGTATTTCTTCAGGCTGCATGCCATAAATTCATCGTAACTCTTATCTACCAATACTGTATGATTTTTGCCAATCCCTCCTACCACCACATCCCATTCTGTCTTCTTTGCTTAATGCATCTATCTGGTACCACCTTCAGGCACCTCAGCTATTTATTTACAAGGGTTTAATAGCTCACACTTTAATCTGGGTATGTTTTTAAGCAGTATAATTGCGCATACATCCAATTTCTTTTTGGTAACTACCCTTTCATTTTTCTAAAGACACTCATGTGTGCAGAATAATAGGGAACCATAATGAAATCCTGAATATTATTGCTCCCAGGTACAGGAATAGAGGAGCTGATCATCATCTAAGAAGGAGATGTCATCAATCACGCAGTATATAACCCTATAACCCTATAAAAGCCCCAAGCTTTTCCTTGTGGGAAAGATGTTTCATACAGAAGGTTTTGAAATGAGGTAAGCAGAACTATGCATAGTATTTCGAATGGAGATGTATTGTAATTTAATAAGGTACTGACCCTTAAAATAACAGTCACTATCCATTTCTTAATCATTCTTAAGATGAACATTTTCACTGTTGATTCACACAAAGTTAATCTTTAATAAAGCAAACCACAAGAACGCCAAGAGCTCTTTTCTGAAAGGCCACTGCATATTTAGACCACATTAATATAAATACAGATTCAGGATTTTTTTGTCACAGGATATAATTATACTCCTATGATTTGGAATGTGAGATAAACTTTTACCAGGTTGGTTGCGGTTCCAGTGGGTGTAAGTGACTTCATCTCCACTCAACCAATGGAAGGAACCAGTCTCATTGATGTCTTGCAATGCAGTCCAGAAATATTCATCCTCCCAGCCATAAATTAGGCTGCTCACGTAGGCCTGTTCAAACCTGGTCCAGCGAAAAAAAAGGAACGAGTCAGTCATTTCCTCACTGCTTCCTCCAACCCTGATCTTTCTCCAGACGTTATGCCATTTTGCCACCATCTCTGGCATCCAAGGAGCACATTCGCCTTCTATACTTTGCCTCCTCTATGGCACACTTAACTAAACTCGAAGTACCTAAACACCAGAGGGCCTTTACTCTGTCACGATGCCATGCCCTCCCCTCAGCTGTCCTTGAAGGCCAATATAGGAAGACCCCTTACCCGGAGAGACAAGGCCCCCTGTGACTCTGGACAACAGAGCATGTGCTTCTCCAGTGCCTGTATTATAGAGACATTCGTACTAGCCTCATTTCACCATTACTGTATAAATACCCAGGGCACACAGGACAATTCTATACCTCCCTGCTGCTTTCAGTTACCAACCCTGCTACAATATATAATGTTGCCAGGTTCTGCGCAGCAGCGATTAAAATTCGTCAGATGATGACCTGTGCCATTAACTAATCTAAATGAGCATCTAGTTCATCAAACTAGAGTGCTCTGTAATTTTATATAGTCTGCCGCATACTAACCTTTATGCCTCCCTACGCCCATCTAATGCTCCTACCCCTCCTTTTAGATTCTTTTAGACTTCTGTTTTTTATATATAATTTGTTTTAATATGTATTATTTTTTATATCTTCTAGTTTTTCATAATTTTTCCTTTAGATCCCTTTTAGATATATACTTTCTATTTTACATCTTTTAGCTTTTTATTATTATTTTTCTGATGTATATTTTACGCTTTTTAAATTGACTGTACCCCACCCTCCTTATGCTGGTCTTTGACCATAATAAAGATTTGATTTGATCTGATACTCCTTCCAAAGACAACCAAGAAGGCAATGGGTAAGTCCTTCGAAGGAGTTACAGTGGATCATCCAGAAGCCTATCTCACCAATCCCTGCATATTTAAAAAATGCTGCAGTACAAAAACTCCTCTCTGTGACTTGCGGCAGAGCACACACCTGTTGGTGATGGTAACCAGGGCAGAGCCATAATCCATGCACATTTTCCGAGCATCACTGTATATCACATGGTCATCCCCTAGCCAATAGCAAGATGGACTGTGCCATTTCCAACCCTGGGCAGAACAGAACAAGATCCTCTTGAAATTGCTACGCACTAATTAATTGGCATCAACAATTACATTATTTCATCTTTGAAGAACAAAGAGTGAAAATATTCCAATGAACTTTAACTTATTGAAATGTTAAATTGCTGTAATAAAAACAGAGTAAATGTTATTGGAGAGGGGCACCAAAGAGATATTTTTTTCTCTTGTTGTCTAACTGGAATAAGGTTACCAGATCTGGGCTGCAAAACTCCAGACAACCATCAGATGGGAGTAAAGAGTTGATCATTTTCTTTATCTTTTTCCTGCTATCTTGTAGTCATCATTTTTGTAACCCAGATCTGGTAGCACTTCGCATGTTATCAAGCTCAGCCACAAGGTTAGAATGGATGGCACAAACAGATTCCAGCAAGACCTACTGATTGAAGTTGAAGATACTACCCAGATAATACTTTTTGTCCTTCCTAGTCCTCCAAGCCATAATTGTTGGAAACAATGGAAGCATTACTATCTGCCAACAACAGAGTGCCAGGAAAGAATTAAAAAGAACAATTAAAAGGGGAGTACAGACAACAGCACTCCTTCTGTGCTGCTGGCCTCCATCATTCATCACTGCCTGGTAAACTTGTCAGAGGAGAAACAATGAACATGGGAACTGGCAAGTTTACAGTTAATTTACATAAACAAATATGTTTACCACCATCCCCACAATCTCCCATAAGATTTGCAAGGCAAATCTTTGGCCCTTCCAAGGAACCAAATACTAGAGTCTGCACTAATAGTCCAAAATACACTTCACCTCAAATTCTTCCTCTCACCATCAGTGAGATGGGAGCATGGTGGGCAGAAATGCCCAAAGGCCAATGCAGCTGTTCCGGCTCAGGATGGAATAGTGGAAAATGGGATGTATCTTCAAAGCACGGGACAGCTACAAATGAAAGGCTACAGGACTGATCTGTACAAGGACAGGATATAGTCCAATAGACTTGGCATCCGGTTTGGTGGCCAGAAGCCCTTTTTAAAAACATCATAGTTCCATTCAGCTGTAAGGAGTTGCCAGAAAGAAAGGAATTCACAGAGTAAGAGGCAGTTCTCAAAATCTAGAGCAGATTGTAAAAGAACAACTCCCAAGACAAAATCAAAAGTATCTGCCTTTACAACAAAGGTCAGGTACCTGTACAGAGGCTTAAGGTTTCCTGGGCATCAGAATCCCACTGACAGGGATCTGCTTCTTGGTTAGATGGTGAGTGGAATAGTTAGGGCAGATAAATTAGGAACAAACTCATGCTAAAGGGTGAATTGGGGTGAAGCACATCAGCCATACCCTACTGGTTCTATAAAAATTACTCCATGATTCTCTGGATTTTTTTTTTCAGCTAAAAGCCAAAATAACCAAAATAGTTTGGGTTTTGTTTCTGCCAAACCACTGCTGATCCAAAACAGTTCAGGAGAGCTTTGGAACATGATGGTTACTTCTGGGTTCATAATAAAACTTATTTTCCATTTCATGTCCCCCCTCGTAAAAGAGTTAAAATATGGATGAATGGGAGAGCTCTTCCTTCAAACTTCCATTAGCTCCAGTCATGACCCTATGTGAGCTGTTTTGCTGACAATATATTTTTTAAATTCAAGTTTGCAAACATTGCCAGTCTTCCTTGATAAAAGGAGCTGAAATTGCTTTAATTTCTATATAAATGAGATTAAGCCAAAAGGGGTGCAACCTTAAACCAGAGACCACACCTCTGGGAAAGGAACTTTGAGGTGTGGCAAAATATCACTGGAATGGGCAGAATCAAAACTTTCTGTTGCTTTTGTCAGGGCTGAAAGGGCAACAAATGAACTTTAACACTTGTATTCATTTTGCACCTTAATTCCCACATAGGAAAATCATTCTGATTTGGGGTAAAGAAGTTATGCAGTGAAAATGGGTAGAGGTTTAAGGTTTTTACCTCTGAAAACTCCCCACCACCATTACAAAAAAAGGGACTGATTTTTTGCTCCTGACACTCTGAGGGCACTCTGGGAGCTTCAAAAGGGGGAAGCAAGGAGGTGACAGGTTGATGATTGTGATCTAAGTTAATCAAGACCTCATATACCTTAGACCAATGTTTTTCAACCTCAGCAACTAAGGTGTACATAATTCTGGGAGTTGAAGTCCGCACACTTAAAGTTGTTGAGGTTGATAAAAACTGCCTTAGACCAATGTTTCTCAAGCTTGGCAACTTTAAGATATGTGGACTGGGGAATTCTGGGAGTTGAAATCCACATATCTTTAGTTGCCAAGCTTGAGAAACACTGCCTTAGACAACAATAACCAAAGAAAAGTCCCTTAAATATTTCAAAGCTTGTTGAATTTTTACACATGTTGTGTACCTAAGAAACCTTACTTGAATGAAAACTACATTTGTATTTGTTTGTTGTTGATGTTGAGAAAAAGGACAATACCTTATTTAGGTATTTAGCTCTGATGACCCTGAAAGATATGTGAGAGATATCTACATATTTTCCCATCTGTATTTTGTAAAAACAACAACTCTATTCTTGATATTCTGAACTTTTTTATTGGAGATGTAAGCACCCTTCGTTTTTTCTCAAAGTTTTGATAACATTATGCCAAATAATGTTAACAAAACTGGATAAGAGTTCATATTGCCTATTCTTTCAGGGCCATTATCTAAGAACACTGATAAGTTTTCCTTATAATTATCTGATCTGACAGCCCTATGAGATCTTAATGAAAACATTATGAATCACAGGCATTTGTTAAAACTATTTACACTATCTGTTGCATCCTCTCTATATATACACACCCACCAACCATTAAGTGAGATGGGTGGTATCTAAATTTGAAATATAAATATAAATAATAAATAAAATTAGTAGATAGCCAGTAATTTCTTATTATTTACCATGCTGGCTATTTACTAATGGCTCTTCTTTTGAAGGTAACCATAGAATTCCCCACTAACAACACAGAGAATGAATGAGGTCTTCAAAAGCAGGCAACAGAGCAATCACTTGAGAGGTGAGCAAACAAAAAGATAAACAAATAGGAACAAGGACAATGCCAACTCTTGCAGGCACAGGAAAGAGAATTGATAGGAAACTTCAGGTGTCTTCTGGAAAAGAGCCATCTCATACTGTACATCAAACTATATCATCACAATAGGTAGATGTCCAGTATGGTAAATAGTCAGAAATTCAAGAATGGTATTCTAACATATTTGAAAAATAACAGTTTCACTAAGTCTTGGTCACATCCAAAGTTTTTCAGATGGTATTATTTATTTCTATACCTACAAAGATGAGAACCGGGCAAGCCACGGTATTCCCTGTGACACTCTATGGAAATGAAAGTTGGGCTCTGAAGAAGCAAGATAGGAAGAGTATTGACACCTTTGAACTTTGGTGTTGGAGAAGACTCCTGAGAATTTCATGGACAGCCAAGGAAACAAACTGAAGGATCATCAAACAAATCAACCCAGAGTTCTCATTTGAGGCTCAAATGATCCTACTTTGGACACATTATGCAAAGACTTAGCTCTCTGGAAAAGGCTCTAATTCTGGGAAAGATGGAAGGAAAGAGAAGAAGAGGATGACCAACAACGAAATGGATGGACTCAGTCACAGTGGTGATGAGTGCACCATTGGGAGACCTGAAAGAACGCGTTAGGGATAAATTGTCATGGAGAAAAATCTCCTTATGTGGTCTCTACAAAAACTGCTTGATGGCATATAATCAATCAATCAATCAATCAATCAACCAACCAACCAACCAATCAATCATTTTACAATGTAATACAACATACCAATTCCCCATCTCCTCTTGAAATTCTTTGGAAGGAGATGCAGAGTAGTCCTTAGGGAAAAAGATCCTCTCCCTTGCATAGTCTCTGTCTTACCTATCTGGGTTCCCAATATGGAGAGAGAAAGATGGGGTCTGTGCAGTGGCAAAATTTTCTTTTTTACTATAAAAACTCTTGCCTTTGCCTTCCCCACCTAAAGAGTAGCCTGGGCCAATGCAGTGAGAGAATACCAGGATTCCTCTTGCTTCTCTTTTTTAAGTCAGTATTCCTCAGTCCCTCTCATAATTTCACAGTCTGTGTATGGGAATGAGGGAAGACAGCAAGTCTTGAAGAAAACAAGTATATATTTATATACACGTGCATGTATCCCACTGCCTTAATCCTTACGGACTCCAGGTGGTTGCAAGTTGCAAAACAAGATCTCAAAAGGGTACCTGAAATTTGTTGAAAGGACAAATTGTTTCCTGAAATTCCATGAAAGGACAAATTCCATGACAATTCACTCTATTAGAAATTGCTGTCAATATATTAAACGCTTGGCACTAGATGAGGAAAAATCTATTTAAAAGGAACTCAGCCGTCTAACTCTGTTGATTAATAAGACAATGCTGACTCCGCCAGGCTGCGTGGAAAAGTGTTAGCTGAGGATGAGGTTCTGAAGAAGTGTCATTATTTTAAAAGTGAAAGAGAGTAATCTTGGAAGCTAGCCTGCCTTCATTCAGGTTTGTAGTCTTGCCTATGAAGCCTAACTAGACATTCAGCAGATGGGCTAACTCCTTTCATAAAAAGCCCTCCTGGTTGCCATATGGCAAGACACAGAGATTGCTGATGCTCATGCTGAGTTCTGTGGGCCAGCAATGCAATAAAAAATATGGAAATATCAGCATGTACACAAAAAAGGTCTAGAAACTTTGCTGCTCAGGAGGAAAGGGGGGAGGGAGAAGGGGGGCTAATACATTTTCTGGAAGATGGGAAAAAATGGGTTAAAATCATGTGTTCTGAATTTCCATTGGGACTAAAATGGATGAGTCGTGTGCTTTCAGATGCATTTCCCCAATTCAGTAAAATGGGAATAATCTTTTTAACTGAAATGAAGTTGAGAGGGAGACTCTACTGTGGAGGCATAAAGATCTTCTTCCTTTTTGGGCCAAGCATACTTTTAAAATTTGGAGAGCTGGGTGCACCCACAAAATGGATGCCAAGATGGACATGCCTAGTTACAAAACACCTATTTACCAGAAGGTGAAATAGTCCCCACAAATAAGCAGTTCACTGTCCAAATGATGCTAAAGGATGGTGCTTTGCTTTGCAGAATCTCAACATCCTTTTTAAGTTTTCAATTCAAAGTCACTCTTAATAAGTCAGGTGGAAGGTCCCTGGTGGCACCAAGCAAGGTGATTGGGAGAAATATATAAGACAAGTGCAAGGTCTCCCATAACAGACAAAACGCCACCTGATATGGTTCCAGTTCCCATGTGCAGCTGCCTACACAAAGTTGCCTCCCTTCCCTTCCCCAGACAGGAATGCGACCAGGGGAGGCTACTCAGCCCACGTGACCCTGGAGGCAAGGCTGTTTAGTATGACTCCATGGGTTTTTAACCACTTACATGCTAAGCTTACTTACATCCATTTTTAAAATTAGCAAAATGTTTGCAAAACAGAAGGGAACAGAAATATAAAGAGCAGCATCTTGATAGCAAGATAATCCAAACTGAAAAAGCTAAAAACTAATATCACTAAATGAGGTTTCAAAAGAAGCTGATGATGACCACAAATTAATCCCAGTTTTTCATAATAAAACATTTTAATGTGCAGTTGCACCTAATCCTGTGCTCTCCAATTCTGAAGTAAAATTCAAGTGGTGCCAAACTTCATATAGCAACTTTCAGGAGCAGGACTGCTTTGCTTCCTTCCATCGGCTGCTAGCATAGCCTTCCCCAGTCAGATGGCCTTCAAATGTGCTATACGTCAACTCCCATAATCCCACTAATAATGGCTAGAGGGTTGTGGGAGCTGGACTTCTTTCAACAAAATGGAGGGAGTCTCATCTCTGCCACTAACCAACCAAACACATCTCCACAGATTACATCTGCTGAATTTGTACAACTGTAAACTAGTTTTTGCATTGCCATCCTTTTTCAATCCCCACTCTCAGAGTTATGCAATGAGGATTCATTTAAAAGGTGCATCAACAGATAAGCACAGGTTAGTTTTCTTCCTTGGACAGAAAGCAAAGCTGGGGAAATCATTCTAATTAGCCCTACAGATCTTCCAGGTAAATATTTTCTTAATAAAACACCTGCGATACTGAAAAAAATCACATATGTTCCCTTCCCTGCTCCTATACTTGCTGCAGAGGTAGAAAGGCTGAAACATATAGGAAAAGAGCACCTTTACCTTTCTACAGCCGTGGTCTTCCTCTTTCCCCTGACTTACTCGACCCCGCTTCTTACAGACAGAAGGCAGCGTCTGATTGCAAGGACTGTCATTCCATCTTCCTTCCTGGGTAAGAAGCACAGAAATTTCAACTCAGTGAAAGCTATTCTCACAGTCGGACCCAGTTTCTAAATATTCTAAACACAAATGTTGTATCTTCCAGCTTCCTGTGCCAATCATATATTTACCAATTTAAAACACTTTGGCTAGGTCTTTATTGTATGCAAATCTCTAATCTGCTATTAGCCTAATCTTCATGATATCTTTTGCCTTTTTGCACCAGCCTATCAACTATCATATAAACTTGGGTTTTTTGTTTTTGTTTTCACTTCTAGGCCTTCTGCCATGCTTATCCCTTCAGCACACGGCTGGGCATATTTCTGCAATCTTTGTTTCAGAAACCAGTTTTATAAAACAAACCAACTTCCTCTTCCACATACAACCCCCAAAATATCACAAACCAAGATGCTAGCAATCTAAAGGAACATTGTAGGCAACACATGTAGGGCAGTGTTAAATATTTTAAAGGAGTTATTTAATACTGCTATTCATCTATTGGCAAAACCTCAAAATGGCTTCAAAAAAATAAAGTTTCAAGGTTTATCAATATATCTGGATGATCCAGATTTAAAAGACAAATTGGAACGGGTTCCCACTGAGCTTTGCCTACTTCAGTTGGCTGCAAAGAAAAGAAATAGGTTTTAAATTATATATTTGTTTTGGGCAAAACTAGATAAGTCATTTCCAAATTTCTTTATGATCAAATCTGTTTTAAGAAAAAAAAGAGCTTAAAGTGCAGGCCCCTTAAGATTCCAAAGTCTCAAGTCATTAATAAAGAGTTTTTCATCTGCAAGTACATATTATTATTTTGACCTTTTAATACATGCGGTATAAACAACAAAGAGTCTCCTGTATGCTAAAACTCTGTCTCTCATGATAGAAACCTTTCCAGTTTTACTCATACCGGCCCCCAGATAGTCACACAATCCTCAAGGCTATCTCGGAAGTTGTTGGGCTCAAAAGGGTGCCAGAATGTAAATAGCACCGGTGTGCCATCTGACCATTCAAAATTCATCTGTAGCCGGAGATCATTCAGGCCAATCCAAAGCTCTTCAACATCTGGCAAAACAGGGAAGAAGAGAAGAGAGAGTATACAATTCTCTTCCATGTATATGTTAGTAACACACTTCCTATCTTTTATTTGCTACATCACACAATGCACAAAAGGTATGCCTGCTTCTGCCTAGTTAATTTACCTGCCATCTCCAGTATATGAGAATTTAGCAGAATGTTGGATTATTAGTCAACCTTCCATGAAAACTAGGAATTTAGAATTTAGACATACCATCCAGAAAAGTTAAGTGTGACTTCCTCTGCTGTGGTTTATCTTCACCTTTATTACTGTACCTACTGTAGCTCAATTTCAACATAGCCTTTGCCCTCTCTATGCCATATTCTCTTTAAGATTTTCCACAAACGCTCAACATACTGATCCATCTAAAAATTCATTCAGTGCCTTAAAAAATCAACTTAGATTTTTAGAAAAACCTATTTAATCCTTGAGGGGGGAATAGCATCATGAC